ACTCTCTTGCCTGGGCTAGAGCGCCATGACGTCAGCCTAGCTCACAGCAACCTCACACTTCTGGGCTCAAGTGATCCTCCTGCCTCAGCCTCCCAGGTAGTTGGGACTACAGGCATGTGCCACCATGCCCAGCTAATTTTTTCTATTTTTAATTGTTTGGCCAATTTCTTTCTATTTTTAGTAGAGACGGGGTCTCGCTCTTGCTCAGGCTGGTCTCAAACTCCTGAGCTCAAGCAATCCTCCCGCCTCGGCCTCCCAGAGTGCTAGGATTACAGGCATGAGCCACCGTGCCTGGCCTCATCACTCTTCCTGTGGTCAGAGGGCCGTAGGACCCCCTGAAGAGACAGGAACAGCTGGCTGGGAGGGCAAGCAGGAGCCTGAGCCTGTCTTACCCTGTGCTGGAGACAAGCTAGCAGATGTCTTTGTTGGAAAGGGCACGGTTCACTGGCTGAGGGCCAGCTGTAAACACGGGGCCTCAGAAGACCACCTTGGTGGCCAGCTGGTGAGATAGTCTTGGATGAATCACTTTAGCTTCCGTGACTTTGCTTACTCTTCCTCAGTGGCAGGGGGGTGGAGGGGTGCAGGGGGTTGGTAAGTGTGTGTGTGCATGTGAGTGTGTGCTGCACCTCTCCCGTCACCTCCTTCCACCTTCAGCCACTTTTTTGTGGATAGAGGAGAGTATGAGATCTAATGAGCCAGGGGCTTCAGCAAGATCTTGTGAGACAGGACTCCTAACACTGGGTGATATGGGGAAAGAGTTTAACACTAAGAGCACAAAATGGGCCCTGCTGAACTTGACTGGGTCCCAGCTCTACCACTAATTGTGTCATCCTTCTGAACTTTTACGTCCTTATCTATAAAAGGGGAGAACAAACTTTTACCTTACCTCACAAAGTTATTCTGAAATAAATAAGGAACTTTACAAATTGTGATGCACTACTGGCTTCCAAAGGGAGTTCTGTAGAACACCAGTACTGCAGGATTTTAACAAGGGTGAGGGTTAACAAGGGTTAGGCTGTCAAGCAAGAAACTGCTGAGTGACGCCAAATGAAACAGATGGTTCTTAACTCAGAACCGTATTCTCATGCTCACTGTGCCTTCTTGAGAGGAAAAGTGTATGCAGGATTCCCAAAATGAAACCTTTTTTTGCAGAGAATATACACTTTGGAAAGCACAAGACGAGACAGTAAGGATAATAACATTTATTGAGAGGTGCTATATGCCAGGCCAGGCACTGTACCAACCCTCTTTGTTGACAATATCTCATTTAATCCTTACAGCATCCCATGAAAGGGTCACAGTTATTATCTTCACTTACAGATAAAGGAACTTGGCACAGAGAGGTTGGGTAAACTGCCCAAGATTACACAGTCAGTAAATTCAGAACTGGGATTTAAACACAAGTGGTCTGGCTCCAGAACTCACCTATTTAATAGTCACATTCAACTGCCTCATTCAACAGCAGTTCATCTGCTTTTTATGGTAAGCACCCTGTGTATAGCTCTATCATTGCACTTGTGAAACTGTATTATAATTTGTCTGCTCAGTGGTCTGATTCTTGCATTAGACTTAGCTTTTGAAAGTCAGGAACTGTGTCTTATTTATTATTATATCACCAGAAGCTGCCACCGTGCTATTGGTGCTCACTAAGTACTTGTTGACTGGTATTATTGTTATCATTATTATTAGTCCAAAAACAAAGATAATATCAGGGCCTTGTTTATGTATGAAGTATTTATAATATTTGTTGATTCAGCAAGTATTTGTCAAGGATGTATTGATGGCACTGGGGAGACAGCTGTGGAGAAGGTATTCACATTTCTGTCCTCATTGGCTTTTGGTCTAATGAGGAAACATAGCCAAGTAAGCAGGTGATTGCAATCGAATGTAATAAATACTGTAATTGGGCGATGCCTAAGGTGCTAAGGGAGCTCTCAGGAGCAATGACTACCTCGAACTTTGGAGGAATCACTGGAGGAAGTGACTTCTAATCAGATATGTATTGTAGTTAACCGACTGAAGGCGTGGAAAGAGGAAGATGTTCCAAACAGTGGAATAGTATTTACAAAAGCTCAGAGAAGAAAGAACATTAGGAAGGTGTTGGTGAGAGATAAGACCTCAGAGATCAGCAGTGGGCCTCCTCATGGACATTCCTTATTAGCTGGGCTATGATGCTGGCACTCTGCTGGCATTCGAACCAAAATAGCCCCAGCTATGTTCTTTGAGTTCATCTGCTTTTTATGGTAAGCACCCTGTGTATCGCTCTATCATTGCACTTGTGAAACTGTATTATAATTTGTCTGCTCAGTGGTCTGATTCTTGTATTAGACTTAGCCTTTGAAAGTCAGGAACTGTGTCTTATTTATTATTATATCACCAGAAGCTGCCCCCATGCTATTGGTGCTCATTAAATGTTGTTTGTTGAATGAATGATGGGTTTTCTTTGTAAAATGGATTACACCCTTCTTGCTTTCTTGAGCCAACTATCACTTTTCCTCAGGTTCATCATTACATCCAGCAGTTAATGTCCTATGTGGCAGTTCAGTGATACCCTTAGGGGCTTCTGAGGTGCTGTATTCTGAATTCCTTTTTCAGCTTTTCGTTGTCCTGTTCTTTTCCCTCCCTGCCCGGCCAGTGCTTGATTGTAATCAATCTGCTTGATTCTAAAGCATCCTCCCTGGCCTTCTTATTTCCTTCTTCTAATCTGCAGTGGGCTGGAAACAAGATCACCTAGCATGATTTGATAAGACTGTGCTAAGAGTTAGTAATCTCTGATTGAGGTCCTAAAGGGCTCTCTTATGGGAAAAGTATAGATGATGCCATCACACATGGGACTTGTATGTTAGCTGCTCTGAGGACCTCTTCCTGTTCTTCCTGCTCCAGGAAAGGTTAGATAACCCTCTAGGGGTGGGGATGAGAGAGGGTGGGGGATCATCAGTCTGGAGAGCCCCTGTTTGGAGTAGAAGAGCTGACTGACTGACCATTGATTCTATCGACCACAGAGAGTGTAGTCTATTCTCCAGCGACACACTCCAGCTTCATTTTGGCCAAACATTTGAAATGCTTCCACCCATTCTAGCTTATCTGGGTGCTAGGTCCAAACCTCAGGCTATTTTCTTTTAAGGGCAAGTTCCCCAGAGACTGTGCTTGCACCTTCACCCGAGAAGAAAAAGAAAAGGGAGTAAGAGCCAAAGCTGGGACCAAAACATCTGGACTCTACTCCTTTCTCTGGGCTCTAATTTTCTCATTTGCAAAATGAGGGTGACAGTATGATATGATGGAAAGAAAGAGTGGGGATTCAGATTAGATCTGGGTTCTAATCCTCGTTCAGCAACTTATTGGCTGTGTGACCTCTGAGCTTTAGTTTCCTCATCTATAAAGTGGGAATAATATTAATACTTACCATGAAAGGTACTTATGAGAATTAAATAAGATTGATTATGGGAAGTGACCATACTAGACACAAAGTAGGTGGTCAGTAAATGAAATCTATTAGTATTAGGAAGAGGCATGACAGTTTTATGTTTTTTGGAATTTGAAGTAGGATGTTCAGTATTGCAGGAAGGGGAAATGCAGAGACTCTATGCCAAGACCACTTGAAAAAGAATGGTTTAGGAATTGTCTGGTGCTTTTGACTACCTGGGCAAAGTCGCCTCTTGACTGAATACACCCCTTTATCCAGGGAGAGGTTAGAGGAGCCTACCCTTTGCAGACCCTATGCCACAGACTACGGGAGAAAAGTGGTACAGGTCAGCAGGACCCAGATTCCATCCCCTACAAACTTAGCTCAGCAGGGCACATAAGACAGTTACCCAGATAACTTCCACATGAGACAAAAGAAACTCCATCCCTGAGCAGGATAGATATTGTTCTGTGGGGTCTCATTTCCCAAGGGAGGGCCCCAGAGGTGGGGTAACCTTCTAGTTTATTATCCAAACTGGGACTGTCCAGGACAACAGGCATAAACCAGGACCATCCTAGGTGAACAGGGATGTGTGGGGTCACCCAACCCAGAGAGTCTTGTAAAAGTGATGAATTGGTTTTAGGTTATTTTATATGAAATCAGAGTGCAAGAATCACAAACATTAGCACTAGAGTGAGCTTGGTTGGGGAGGTGGCGGGGATTGGTTTTTTGACCATATGAAATGCTTTTTCTTCTTATCTTTTAAAAAATATTTGCAGGTATTTATTAGGGGTAAAAAAGCAGATTACAAAATTGCATTCACAGTATATTCCAATTTTGTAGGAAATATATATGAATACGTATATTTGAAATCTAGAAGGACATATACCAAAATATTAAATGTAGTTTCTCAAGTTGCTGAGATATTGGTCCCTTTTCTTCTTTGCACTTTTCTATGGTTTCAAAATTTTAATTGCTTTTATAAATTAAAAAAATGTAATACCTTCTGAACCTCTTTCATAAAAAAGAAAAAAATTTAAATTACTTACTAGACTGTAAACATCTTCAGAGCAGAGAGGTGTGTTAATCTTCTACTAAGAAGAGCCACTGTCCCCTGCCCCACTCTTGCCCTGTCCTACCCAACCAGCTTTCTTCCTCTGGATAACTCCTCTTAATCCTTGAAGATTTTGATCTCCTGGGATCCTCTCTTCATGCCCAAATAGAACTAAGCTCTCCTGGCTTTCTGTATCATCCTATTATACCTCTAACATAGCATTTATCTCAAACAATACTATAAACATCTGTTTATTATCTGCTTCCCTTGTCAGATTGGGTCAGGGACCGTATCTGATCTATTTTATGTCCCCAAGATGAATAATCCTAACACATAATAGATGTCAGTAAACATTTGTGAAACTAACTGGCCTCTGTTTTTCCTCTTACCCAGCACAGGTGGCCAGGCACATAGTAGGTACCATTTTATGTTTAGTAAGTAGGTAGATGAGTAAGTAAATTAAAATGCCAAGAGAAAGCAGATGAGATTGGTGGCTTATGCATTTGCTGCTAACAGAAGGATTTGTGTCTCTGTCCCCCCTAGTCCTGGTCACCCGAGAGGATGACTTCAACAACCGGCTGAACAACCGTGCCAGCTTCAAGGGCTGCACAGCCCTGCACTACGCTGTCCTTGCTGATGACTACCGCACTGTCAAGGAGCTGCTTGATGGAGGTGAGAGCGTGGGTAGATGAAGGGTGGAATGGCGTTGGCAGGGCAAGAGGGTACTTGGCAGCCACCCTTTCCCAGAGCCCTGTTACCTTCCCAGAGTCTAGAAGCGCCTTGAGAGTGGCTGCACTTCTGAGAGTGGCAATGTGCACGTGTGATTTGCCCTCCTGTGGCTGGTATGTGTTCTTTGCCTACGTGTATGTGATTCACCATGCCTTCTGGCCTGTCTGTATGTGCTATGACAGTTTTCTTGATTGTTGCTCTCCCCAAACGTGTTCTTTCTTCGTCCCTGTGTCCTCCAAAGCATGGTTAGGAGAACAAGGGAGAGGCTCTTCAAATCCCTATTAACCCAGTTCGCAAAGATGTCGTCCTTGGTCCCATCTTCACTCCAGTCTCAATTAGGCCACTTCCATTACTCTGGGTCATGGCACCCTCTTCTTTTCCATCATTGCACTTGTCACAATCTGAAATTGTTTTTATTTGTTCACTGGCCTTCTCCCTAACTTGACTATGAGCTCCCCGAAGGCAAGAACCATGGCTGACTTGTACCCCCAGCACCTGTCATATTACTTGGCACCTAGTAAGCACTCAATAAATATGTGTTGAACGATGAATACCCTCCTTTTGGAGAACATCAGTTTAATCCGAGGTATGATATGTGCCATCCCCAGACTCGAACTGGACTGGTCATGTCCAGGTCTGGTACAGAGATACCTGCCAGATACCTCCCAAGCAATCACTTTCTCTCCCACTTTGCCTTATCCCACTGCAGCCTCTCCTTGGGGTAGGGAGGGAAGGAAGCATCTTGCAGGATGTGTGGGGCACAGGCCCCTGAGTGAGTACATGGTGCATAACTGCCTGTTCATGCCTTCCCTGCCACTTCTTGAGGGTCCCCAGGGACCCTCTCTTGGGGCTGGACCCCAGGGTCCTCCTTGTTAGGGGTCATTCTTCACAGAACCTGAGAAGTGGAAGAGTCCTCAGAGGTCCTCTGGTCCACTCTGATTGCCTGTCGTCCTGCCAGCAGAAACCTCACCAACAGCTGGCTGTCTGACATTTCCTAGATTTTGTCAGAGACAGAAGGAACCCTCCTTCTTCCCCAGGGAGTTCATTCCATTTTACTTCAGCTCTGACTCGTTAAACATCTTTTTAATGAGCTGTGATCTTCTTCTCTGTAACTTTTGCCAACTATCATTTGCTACCCAATCACTTTTTCAAAAACTAGTCTTCAAAGAAAAACTCTTTCAGGCCAGGTGCAGTGGCTCATGCCTGTAATCCCAGCACTTTGGGAGACTGAGGCAGGGGGATAGCTTAAGGCCAGGAGTTCAAGACCAGCCTGGGCAATATAGTGAGACCCCATCTCTTAAAAAAAAAAAAAAAAAAAGAAAGAAAAAAAAGAGTTCTTCCAGTCCAGAGCCTTTGCCTCCCCAGGCCCAACATCTCCAGATCATCTTGTAGCCCTTGTGATGTGATTGGCCTGGACCCCAATCCTGCCACCTTCTGTTAGCCACTGCCACACTGGCTTAAAACTCAGGCCTGGCCCATACCCCCAGCCTACAAGGGATCTGCCCCAGAACAGCCAGAACGTGTCTTAGTCTGGGCCATGTACACCACGAAGGGCAGTACTACTCCGTGGATGTAGCGACAGTCCCTAGGATAACAGATGCTTTTGGAGTAACAACCTGCTGCTCTCAGAAACAGAGACTTAGAAAACATCCCTAAGCAGAATGCTTCTTATTTTGTCCTTTGGAAAACTCTCCAGCAAGACATTTGTAGCTAAGCATTGGAGCATTCGCCATGGAGTTTCTCTCTGCCGTGCCTTAAAATCAATCAATAGTCCCAGCCATTGTCCAGTAGTTTACATTCCATGCTTCCCCCCACCCCACAGACAGACAGAGAATTCACTCTATGAGGAGCCCCTCTCCCAAGCCTTCCAGATCGAACACCTTTGAAATGAAGAGGCAAGGGCCTTTTATGAAATTCCCTCCACCCTCACCCCCCAGGCCAACGCTGGCCCTTTGAGCCGTTCCAGGGGCATGGTTCCTGCCTGTTGACTTGGAACAGATGCCCTTAGCCCCCACCTTTACATTTCTCCCACCTGCCTTTTTAGCCAGCATCTATTTACACCCCCTGCCCTAGCCTCTCAGCCTCAAGGGCCAAAACCATTAACCCATTTATTTCTCCCTCCCAGACCTGAACAAGTGGCCGTCACTCAAGGCCTGCCAACTTCTGACCTCCCTCCCCCCTTGACCTCCCTTGGTCTGCCTGTGTGTGTGACCAGCCAACCGAGAGGCAGGATCATGCTCTCTCATCCTAGGGGCTGTTGCCAGTAACATTTCCAAAGACTTTTGACCTCAGCTGACCTTCCCCATAGGGTTTCAGGGAAGGCAGAAGCGCCTGCCTTCCTGCCCATCCAGCTTTTTTAGCCTATACTTGCCACCGGCTTTTGCAGCAACATAGAGGGAGGGGCTCTCTGTGAGTTCCAAGGCAGGACTAGACACAGAGACCATCCTGTGCTCCCAAGATCCACACAGGACCCTTTTCCTTGAAATTGCTTAGTCCACAGGGATTTAGGGTCCCCTGATCCTAGAAGATTAGAGCTGGAGGGGGCAGTTACTCTTGCTTTCTGACCAGAACTCCCCATTGAGCTGAGAGGAGATTCAGACAGCAGTATCAGGCTGATAATGTGAGCACCTCTCTGGCCCATTAGGAGGTAGCATGGAGTGACAGAAAGGGCATCTGAAGCTTAGGGTCAGGCCAACTTGGGTTTGAGTCCCAGCTTCTCCACCTACTAGTTGTTTTGCCTTGGGCATGTTTCCTTAAATCTCTAAGCCTCAGCTTTCTTATGTGTAAAATAACACCTACTTCATAGGCATGGCGTGAAGATTAGCAGTAATGTCTATAAAAGCCCCTGGCAGGTACACAGTAGGTATTCTGTGATAAGTAATCATTATGACATGTATCAAGAAATCAAATTCTCAGCTGGGCAAGGTGGCTCACACCTGTAATCCTAGCACCTTGGGAGGTCGAGGTGGGAAGATTGCTTGAGGCAAGGAGTTCGAGATCAGCCTGAGCAATATAGTGAGACCCCATCTCTACCAAAAAATAGAAAAATTATCCAGGTGTGGTGGTACACACCTGTAGTCCCAGCTACTCAGGAGGCTGAGGCAGGGGGATCACTTAAGCCTATGAGTTTGAGGTTGCAGTGAGCTCTGATGATACCACTGCACTCCAGCCTGGGTAGCAAAGTGAGACCCTGTAAGAAAAAAAGAAAGAGTGGAGAGAGAGAGAGAAAGAAAGAAAAAGGAAGGAAGAAAGAAAAAGGAAGGGAGGGAGGGAAGGAAAGGAAAGGAAGAAAGGAACGAAAGGGTGGGAGGGAGAGAAGAAAAGGAAAGGGGAAGGAAAGAAAGAAAGAAATCAAACACTCAACCTGGTAACTATTATCCCATTCCTTGCCCAATATGAAACCTATTCTCCTACCTAAAGGCCTCTTAATTCTGTCTCTGCCTATAACATTCCTGCCCTGCCTAAAATACCATCATGTTCCCCCTCTTCTTATTTGAATCCTCAGATTCTTCAGGGCCTCCCTCTCTCAGGAAGCCTTTCTTGGTTGTCTGGTCTACTCTGATACCTGCTCCTCTGAACTTTTATAGTGTTGGACTAGTGCTTAGCACAGACTGCTTAAGGTTACATCTTCATCCTCACTAGGCCTCATAACATGGTGAAAAGAACACAAGCTTTGGAGTCAGACCTGGGTTTAAATCTCAGCCCTGTTCTGTGGCTCTGGGCAAGCCACTTGCCATCTCTGAGACCATGGACCTCAGAGCATCCTAAGACAGATCAGGTGAACTGTCTCTGACCCTGAGAGACTCTCTGGCTGTCGGAGGAAACAGATATAGAAACAGGTCATGATGGTGGAGTAGGTGCTCTGGCAGGGGCCTGGACAAGGGGCTCTGGGGACGTAGAGGAGGAAATGGCCTCCTTCTACATGGTGAGTAGGGAAGTAAAGTCATTTACTAAGAGCTTACTAGAAGAAGGGCTGCTTAAGCCTTATCAGGAAGGGTAATGGGAGTTTCCAGAGTTCTTCTGAAGGGTTTTGAATTAACTAGTGCCAATTTTCTACTCTCAACTTCCACGGAAAAGTAACTACACAGGCCTGTGTTTTTCATTTTTGGAGACTGCTTTTGCCTGTGTTGATGGCTTATGAGCAGGAAGGCTCTGCTTCAGCACTTGACTGCAAGTACAAGAAATGATGGGAGAGAGGAAGGGAAGGAGAAAGGGAGAGGCAGGATGACTGGAAAGAGGAGTAATCAGGGAAGGTGGCTGGAGCCTCCTACCTCAGGTCCCTGGAGCTGACTCATCCCAGTATTTCCAGGGCTGTTTAGGTGCCTTAGGTCCTCTCAGGAATGTGATTGCACTGGCAGATCCATCTTCCTAAAACATACCTATCATGGCAACCTTGCTCGACCAGGGTTCCTCTAGAGAATTGATAGAGCCCTAATGCTCTAAGGAGTTAACTTCTATCCCAGCCATCTAAAATCATACACCTTTGTGTATATACACCTTTGGGAGAATTGAGAAAATCATTGGTTAAATAATTTTTTTGTACATGGTTTAAAGGAGAAAACCCGGTTGAGAGGCTGAAGGAAAGAGCATGAACGTTGAAGTTAGAATCTCAGTACCAGCCCTGCCGCATAGTAGCTATGTGATCCTGGGCAAGTTACTGACCACCCTTTTCCTTGTCTGGAAATGGGGTGGTGCCACCTGCCTACCAAGGTTTTCTAGGGATTGGGACATACATAGATTCTATAGAGTAGATCATTTATATATAGTATCTGTTATTATTATTACAACTTCAAAAACACTCAGTATTTACCTGTTAAAAAAACAAACCCATACTAACGTATTTCGCTGGTTTTAGTGTTGCTCTAATCTGGCCTCCCCTGCCTCTTTACCCCCGCTCCTGCCCCAATACTCCAGCTACACTGTGTTCCCACCTTAGTGCCTTT